CGAATCATGCTGGTGAAGACCAGCTAGGGTAGCAACGGTACTCAAGACACCAAATATACCGAAGCATACCTGCAAGGCAAGCTCTGTAGAGCTGTCGGCGTTGGACATGAGGTAGCTTATCGGAGAAGTACAAGCGACAAGAGGGCGAAGCAGGTAAGCAGTAAGCCAACCGAGGCAAGAAGATAGTAGTAAGTCAAGTCACTGCAAGTGCCCAAGGTCACAAAGACTTAGTAGAAACAACAGAGTGAAGTGGATGGCATTATCATAGTACATCCGTACCCCCAGGGTCTTATACATTTTCTCGACGGTACGTATCTTTTTGGCACTCTAAGGAAACGCTTGAAAGTTTTTTCAACAGCGATTAGGGTGCGGCGCGAGGTATATAAAGACTATTGTGAGTCGGGAAGGACTGCTGGTTCAGAGGAGCTGTTTGGGTTAGCGTATCATGTAGGAAGAGATCAGGGTACCCGATAACGTCGACAGGGCGTTGAAGTTGTGCCATGAAGCACCCGATGACCACATACATAGCCACAATGCAACATCTAAGCTATGAGTCCTGGGTAGATGATTGGATAGTACATGCACCAAGGACTTTACCCAGGGAAAAGATTTCGTCAGCAGGGCAAGTGAGGCTCTCACCGGTGCGGAGGACTTCAACATAGCCCGATACTCAGCCCACGCAACACTGTATTCCAGCTCCAATGATGCTCACAAGTCAAACAAGGCCAATCAGAGCAACATTCATCTCAGCCTCAGGCAGAGAGCTCCAGCGTGCCGAAGTCAGCCTCCTTGCTGAGTTCAGCCTTGGAGGTCAATTGGATATGCAGAGGCCAACGCAACATCCTATCTTGCATAAATACCCCATAATGATAAATTCATAATCCACACAGACCGGTGTCAAAAGAAGAAAACAGGTTGTGATCTTGAGAGAATGCGCCTTGTGCTCAGCCTGTGGGGCTGTGCAGGACAATCCAATGCTGAGGCAAGAGACCGCGCACAGTGGAAGAGGAGTACCATCATGCACATCACAAACACACAGACTTGCAATACTAACAAATTGAATATCGGGGTATCAAACTCCTAGCTCCCCTCCCTCCCAGGTCGATACGGAATATACGCATCCCCCACCTCCGGTATAACAGCATTCCCATCGATTTCCACCGGCGCAATAGGTTTCCTTGGCACCCTCGCCAACCCCGCAAGTTCCGTTGCTCCTTCTCCGTTCACCGGACTCGGTCCCGACGTGGAACTTCCATATGCCGGTGCAGTACTAGCGAGTTTCTGTCGCTCAGCTTCTGTAGCATCCATCTCGACGTTCCATTCGGGGGTCTCGTGTGGGTTTTGTGAGTGGTTGGCGTAGTGGGCTGCGGTCGTTCCTTTGGGTATGGCGTGGTAGGCGGATGGGGAGTGGTTTGCGTTGTCGTCGATTGGTCTTGTTGGGTCATCGTCTTTTTCGTCTCCCATGTGCTTTGAGGCGAGGGCTGCTTTCCTGTTCTTCTTTCGTCGCCTCCATAAGAGGAACAGTGCTAATGCTCCGAGGATCATGACTAGTGGGATGACGGTGGCTATCGCTGCGATGGCACCTGTTGAGATTCCACCCCCACTGCCGTTGCTGTCACCACCACTTCCTCCTCCCTGACTCTCACCACTGTTACTTGCGGATGCACCAGTCGCTGTGTTCGAAGCAGTCGGGTTTACGCTGCCGGCATCACTGGGTTGATACCTCAGGTGCAGCGCAGTGATACTCGGCGTCGCGCTTGCCGGCCAAGATCCACCAGCGTATGTCCTCGATTCGTTCTCTTCCGCGTCCGCCTCTCCACATTCAACAACTGGGAAGTTGCCACTGCCTCCCGGTCGACATCCATCTCTTCCATCTGCCTGAAACCCATTGGGGCAACACTGCAACCCAATCTCTCCGTCTATCCACCTGTTGTCACTGCCCTCTCCATCCGCGTCCGTTTGCGTAGCAACGGCCGTCCAGGAAGCCGGGCATGCGGTAGCGGGCGAGTAGAACGCGGATGGCGATGGGTAGATGTTCGATGTCACCCAGGGCATGCAAGCGGTGTTTATGCTGAAGGGTATCGGGTCCTCATCTTCTTCAGGAAAGACACATGTCTCGCCCCATGCGACGGCGCCGTTGAGGTTGCGAAGTGTGGCGCATGCTTGAGGTGGTGCGGTCGCCCATGCTGTGTCCCAAGTGTGTTGTAGGCTTCGCGATGTAGACGTCATCATAGAAAGAAGGAACTTCCAGGCTCACCACAGCCACGGCTGTGTTTCTGGGCAATGCTGCTAGCTAGGAGAATAGAGCTAGAGATTGAAAGGATAATAATGCCAGAGAAAAATGGCAACGATGCGCAATGGCTTCACAGCAATTACTGAACACCCAAGACATGCCGCTGCATCGGGGGAATTAAGTACGTTATTCCCAAAAGCCCATTCATCATCGGAATCCAGCACCAGGAACACAGCCTTGCCAGACCCACTTGCCGCATCTTGGACTGTTAGAGGCGTGGTGGTGTGGAGAGAATTCGATGATTTCATTCGGTGGCAACGGGCCGGCAGTTCACCTCATAGGTTGCTGTTCCTGGGCAATCTTGGCGACTTAGCCTCGTGTAGGCTAGTTTGGTTGATCTCAGTGATTTAGTGATCGATATTTGCCTCGGGCATGCACAGTGGAGTCTGTGTTGCTGCCGTTGGTGGAGAGGTGCCGGTTTTGGAGTGTGCAAAGGATTTGGCATAGCCACTGTATTCATCATCACGCTGCACCAGCGGCCTGGTAGTGAATTTGTGTTCTATTTTTGAATTTCCGTTTATGTACAGATAGTAGTAGTATGCGAAAGTTTGTTTCGAACGGATAGTTCGGTATATGGTATACTAGATCACTTCTTTCGTAGGCTGGCAGGACTCACCGGCTATGCCTTGTAGCCAGCCTCCGCCAGACCCTCCTTCAGGCTCTCAATCGCCTTGGTGATATCCGGTCGGTTCGGGTCGGTGACGCTGACGCCCATGTGTCCAAAGCGAATGTACTTGGTTGCGATCTCCTTGTGCAGACCACCAGCGAAGATGACACCCTTCTTCATGAGGTTGGGCAGAACGTCCGGAGGTGTCATACCTTCGGGTAGGTAAATGGCGGTCATACCAGTAGCCTGGTTCTCAGGCTTGGAAGCAAGCTGCTTGAGACCGAGATCAGCAACAGCCTTCTTGACCTTTTGCGACGCGGTCTTGTGTGCAGCCCAGTAGTCTTCGACGGGTCGGGCGAGGATCTGCTTGAGCGCAGTGTCGAGCGCGTGGATGAGTTGTGGGGAGGGTGTAGCGAAGTAGGACGCCTTCTTGGCTTCGTAGTTTTGCATGACTGCGATTGTGTTAGTTCCACTGATGCGCTTGACTAGGGATTCAGAGATACTCACTGGGCAACCAGTTCTTCCAGGAACCGAAGTAAGAAGTTGGTCGTGTCTTCCTCGCCTTGAACCTCTCAATCGCGCGGCCAGATACCATCATGATGCTCAGACCAGCTGGGCAGCCAATGCCCTTTTGCGAAGCCGTGATGACGGCATCGAGCTTCCACTCGTCGAAGCGGATCTCTTCGGAGCCAACACTGCAGACACCGTCGACTACGACCAATGTCTCGGGACTGACCCTGTGGACAAGCTCGCTCAATGCCTTGATCTCGCTGAGCACACCAGTCGACGTGTCGACGTGGGTGACGGTCAGGATCTTGTACTCCTTCTCCTTCAGTGCCTTCTCCACCTCATCGAGTTGTGGTCGGTCGCCAATGGGCGCTTTGAGCTGTGTAGCCTTGACACCGTAGGTCTCGAAGCAGTCGGCGAACGAATCGGCAAAGTAGCCAGTGTGTAGGACGAGCACCTCATCACCGGGCTCTACCAAGTTTGCCGCTACCTGGTCCCATCCGAGTGTGCCAGAGCCAGAGATGACGAAGGGTTGCGCGGCAGGGTCGCTGGACAGGAACAGCTTGCGCAGGTTTCCGAGGACTTCGCTGAATGTGTTTACAAAGGGTTGACCGACGTGCGATTCACTAATGAGATTAGCGATTGCGAACAGCATGAACAGTAAATGCCATAGAGGTGTCTTACCTGTAATGGCTCATAGACGAAAGCACGGCATCGTCAAACTCAATGGGCCCAGGAATGAGCAGGGCAGGGTGTGGTGCTTGGCTCGACATCTTCTTGGGTGGTTCCGGCGCAAGCTTCTTGACCTGCTCTACTTCCTTCTTGATTTCCTTCTTGGCTTCCTGCTTGAACTCTTCGGCCTTCTTGGGAGGTATGCGATTGCCTTGTTCGTCTTCGATGCGGGCGGTGCGTTCAGTGGAGAAGGGAGTGTTCAATTCGAGAAAGGGCTTCGAGTCTAAATGCTTGGAGATCTGTGTAAGGCGGGAGCCAGCGCGCGCACGAGGTGACGACATGCTTGGGCGGGGTTGAAGGCGGCTGTTCACGGCTAGGAGACGCAACCGCGGGGCTGCAAACATCCGGTGATCGGAGACGCGCGATGGATGAAAGTGGCTTTGATAGACACGAACGGTTGCTGCGTTATGCCAATTGCGACAATCTGCGACTATTTGTTCGTGTTCAGGAGACGAGGACGCGTCAGAGAAAAGAAAATTAGTTACTGATAGTAATGAGAGACTGGGAAGGAATTTGGAGATGCGATTGACAAATAAGGGGTCTATGGATGGCCGCTCATAAATTTACGGAACGAAAAGACACTTCTACACGCACGGATGCGGACCCGGGAGTTGCTGAATCGTGGGGTGCCACGGGTCCGCGATTCGGTCGCGTGGCGGGTGAACATGCGCTCGTCACGTGCTCGCGAGAAAACGGCTGGACTTTACTCGGCAGGGATGTTTGTTATGATCGGGCCCACTCTCGTGCAGCATCAACACTCGAGCGTCAACACGATACCAATTCGCTATCAATGCATTCTAGCAGCGCATAGACAGCTCGATTCAATTATACGACAGTTTATCTGACGCCTTGAACATTTCGATGCGTGTCACACGCGCCCGCGCCCAACAGGGCAACGATGATGCGACCGACGCGACCGAGCGTGCACCCTTGAATCAAATTTCCTCAAATGCGTCGCCCAAGCAGACCCGCTACGATGACGAGGAGCTAGTTCCGAAAACACCCGCAAAGACGCCCGCAAAGACTCCAGGAAGGAAGGCAAAGGGCAAAGGCCGGGCGAAAAAGGGAAAGAAGGGCAAAGCGGCTGAGGAGGATGAAGAGGAGCAGACCGGAGCCGCACCTGAAGAGGAGCAAGCCGCAGATGAAGCGCCCACGAACGAACCAACTGGCGACGATGGTTCCAAAGACGCTTCCGATGGTGAGTTCGCAGCCGCTCCAGACCAACAACCGTGGACTAATGGTGTACAGGAGCCTCAGAAGCCCCCGCAATCATCGAGCGACCCGTGACTCCAGCGCCGCGATTGACACGCCGACAACTGGCTATGCAGGAGGAGGAAGCGAAACAAGCGAAGCTCAGCGCCCAATCACAAGAGCCAGAACCAGCGCCAGTTGCAGAGGAGGTGCCTTCGACTGTGGAAACGACCGCAGAAGCACATGCGCCCGAGGAGACATTGTCTGAGGATGCAACAACAGGCGCAGAAGAAGCGCAGGTTGAGAGTCACCCACAGGAACCGATACAGGAGGTTGAAGCACCAGCTACGGTAGAGCCTGTAGAGGAAGCGCAAGATGAGCCTATACCGGAGGTGGAGGAAGCGCCTCAAGAGAAAGCCGATACTGTACAGACAGAGCATACTACGTCAGTGCCACGAATCGACGAGCCCCACGGCGAGGAGCAACCCGTCGAGGCAACAGCGACTGAGAATTCGTCTGAGAATCAAGTGCCTGAAGCTGACGCTGAAGCCCCTGCACCCTCAGTCGAAGTGAGCTCAGAACCGGAGCCCAAGACACTTGTAGCCGAGAGGCCCAGCGAAGATGCCATGACACCACTTAAGAGCCATGCCTCCAGCCGACGAGCGTCGCGCAGCCCCTCGAAATCGCCAATGCGCCTGGAGGAGTCTTTTGGGGCCATTGATGCGCTTGAGGAGGCACTGGAGAATGTGACTTCAGTCACCAGCTTCAACCATGCGAATGAAGTGATGTCGCCTCAGAAGGCAGAGTTTCCAAAAGCAGCTACCACACAGACGATGCGATCGAAGGCGCTCGGAAAAGGGCCAGGGCCTGCGCCTGCTGCCAAGCTATCGAGGACACCGAGTGTTGCTGCGCCTAAGAGCATGAAGCCAGTGAAATCTTCGATGGCTCGCGCATCCAGTGTCCGCACAGCGCCTAACAAAGATGTTAGAGTAGATTCCACGGATACAGTAGATTACCTTGCCTCGAAACGCCGGCCGATCAGTATGTCATTCCCCACACCTGCAGCGCCACCAAAGGGCCGCGCACCCACAAAGGCCACCTTCCAGCTTTCAAGTAACGATGTGGTCGCCAAATTGAAGGCCCAAAAGGAGGAACGTCAGAAGAGAGAGACAGAGGGTGTGGTCCGCAAACCACGACCTATTAGCATGCCTCCTCCACCGAAATCCGATAAGCCCCTGACGAAACCTGCGTTCCAACTCCCCGGCGAAAGAATCGCTGAGAAGCTCAAGGCACAAAAAGAGGAGCGGTTGAAGAGGGAAGCCGAGGCGCCTGCACAATCAGCACCAAAGCAGCGCCCCGTTAGCATCACCATGGCACCTAAGCAGCGTCCTGTTAGCATCAGCATGGCTCCCCATGCAAAGTCGACGAAAGCACTGACAAAAGCGACTTTCGAGCTCCCTGGTTCCGCCGTCGCCGAGAAGTTAAGGATTAAGAAGGAAGAGCGTCTGAAGCGAATGGAAGAAGCGGAGGCAGCAAAGAAAGAAGCTGCTCTCAAGGCACGACAAGCACCAGTGCGCAAGCCAGTGACTGTTCCTATCAGACAACAGCAACCAGGTGTTACCATTGCGCCTCCACAACCACCCCAAGCACCACAGGCCCAGCCCCAGCCTCAGGCTCAACCCCAGGCTCAACGTGCGTCGTCGCTGGCTAGCAAGCGCAGCAGCATGTCTCTATCGCAACCGCTGTCTCAATCCCGCTCCACGTCGACTTCCTCAGCAAACCGCAACAGTGTTATCGTTCCTAAGGCCATTGTCACGCCTGTCGACGCCGCACAACAGAAAGTCAAGGGCCGAGAAGTCTTCAACCGCGACCGAATGGAGAAAGAAGCCCGAGAGCGAGAGAGGCGCGAGAAGGAAGAAGCTGCCAAGCGAGCGCGAGCGGAAGCTGCGGAGAGGGGCCGCATCGCGAGTAGAGAGTGGGCTGAGAGGCAAAAGAAGAAGTTGATGGGTGTTTGAATATTGCTGATGGGTGTTTGAATATTCTTGCGACGGGTTTTCTGGTCCGACTTCTTATTCGGGGAGTATGTTTGGTGTCTTGGATATGGAGGGTGTTGGTATACTCTCCAGGTCTCTTCTTACTTCTTGCTAGGGTTGGGTTCATCTTTTCTTTGGCGTTGCCAACTGTCATTACCTCGTCCTCCGATGGTCGACTGGAGGTTTTCCTTTGGAGTTGCATCTCGTCTTTTCCTTGGCCAGATGGATATCAGGATTGGGTTCAGATCAGACCCGGTGTGTTGCGTTTCCAGGGCTGCACCAATGCTCTGCTCTCATATTGTTCAACAACTTACAATTTCGAGCAATCAATCTTCGAGTGTTAGCTTCAAACGTTCAACATGTGCTTTGTGTCCTCCAATCTGCCAGTCTAAGTTTCCCGATTCCAAGGCCTGGCCCTCAACAATTTGACATCTCTGACACCTCTGACTTGCCCCTGACAACAGCATTCGAGAAGTCTCAGCTGGCCATGAAAACTCTTTACAGAGTCTCATGCCACGGATTGTTTTGCAGCGCTTGCGTCGGCACATGTGCTTGCATGTCTTGCACTTTGGATCTTCAATTAGCGCCATGGAGTCGGGCCTTACCATCCCACGCGGTTTTAGCAGCAAAATTACTTCCAAGGTTCTTGCGATTTGACTCTGAGTGAGGCAGCATCATCGTTGAACGGCAATGCATACTCCACCAGGACACTATCGTCAAGCGTCCGGTTGGCACCGCGGCTGCTGCCCGACGGTCTGGTATTAGGCGGAGTCCCTTACCGCTCGTTTGTGCACATGGAAGCAAGCCTGTCCCATAGCGTCATTGTTTCGAGACACGTCGGAGATTGGGCACTTCTTTTGTACGTTGCGAACACATCATGCAGAAGTCACGATTCGTCGCGGGTACAGGTGCCGTGGCATCGACTAGCTCGGCACGCTCCTGGTCTGGGTTGACATCCCACGCAGATCAATTGGCGTATGCCTGACAGGCGAATATGTGATAGGCATTGGATTGTGCGACATTGTGATGGTGTCGTGCGATCTCTTCGATCTTGCGTCCACGTGGGTCGAGGCGGTACTTTCAGCCGCACCGTTGAGTCCAGCGTGTCAAGGAAGTAAGGGAGAACAACGAAAGACGTTGCGACCCAGTCTACGCCTTAGCTCTTGGGAATGCAGCCTCATGTGTGTCAAACCAAAGCTTCTAGCTCGCGATTCTCGTCAACTGTCCCAATATCACAAGGGATACCTTGAAGTATCGAGATCTGATGCGTGTCGGCGCGTACCGAGAAACCCCGCAGAGGATGGAGCTACGAGCCGCCAGATCTCATCAGTACGAGTCAAGCGCGAGGTCCGCGGCGTGCGCTTCACGGCCATTTGGGATTCTCTCGTGACGCCATCGTGCGCTTCATGCCAGCCCAATGCCGAGTCAGTTGTCGTCGTACCCACGCTTTCCTCGCGGTCAGGAACTGCTGGGAAAGCATAATGGCCCGAATGACTGAAATTGAATCCCCAATCTGGCACGATCCGAAGGGACGTGAAGGATCTGAGTGTTCCTGAACGGCACATGCGCCGATCAGAGATAGCTCGATAAGCGAGAATGTATGATAGGTTGGATGTGGTTTCCGCCAGATCTTGACAATATTGATGACGCCTGACACTGACAGATTGCACGCGCATTCCCGCCTGCCTGCCTTTCGGGGCAACGTGTGCGTGCCTGCATTTCGTTTTGAGTCAATTCTGGAATTGTCAGGGTGTGTGCGATGAATGTCAGCGATCGGTCCCTTGCATCGCGCGATTAGGGTCCAGATGCAGTGTCGATGGAGGTCACTCCTGCGTCTGTGAGTTAAAGGCTTCCCGTTGTTCAGCCAAACATTAGGCTTTCCCCAGGTTATTGAGGATCAGCGCACTACAACAGCAGTCTGGATCGACTGCCAACTCTGGCCGGAGCTTGCGCAATAGCGAAATACATTCAATAGCTTCTACACGAAGTCTCAAGGGAAGCGAGAGACCATATTGAGTGCGTCGTCACGCTTTTCCGCGATGATCCTCGGAGATCGCGGTCAATCTGCACGTAGGCGAGATGAACCAGTCATTGATGTTTGGTGAAGCCATTTTGCTTTTGGTCACACCTTGGTAGAGAGGCTAGGCTCAGGGGGTCTCGAGGAGGCTCAACATGGCATTGCGCAACTCCGAAGGGATTTCGGGGAGTTGTTCGTTGTCTCCGAGCCTTGTCAACCCGTGGTTTTTGGCTGGATGCCTGAAGACCCGGACCTAACTTTACAGTAGCGGCTGCACCCTTAGCTGCCATTGCAACCGGAAGAGGAACCCAGCATTATGTATGGTTGCAAAACAGCGACCAGTATCGGTCCTTTGGCTGAGCATCAGGTGCTTGGGAATGTTTGACGCGGCCCGTGGCGGTTATCGATTCTGTGAAGTCTTCGGATCTCGGAACAGTTGACTATGCCCCAAGTGTAAGCGAGGTGAGCTGTGAGTGGTGTGAGTCTGTGATGGCTGCGTTCATGTGGTTCGAGCCGTGTGCGTCGCATGTCGCACACGCGCGATGACCTAATAATGGTCGGGGTAGCAGGATGCCGTCGTCTCGCCATGGCCTGGACGGATGTCAAAGGGCAAAGCTGCACAAAGTGTTGACACCTAATCCTGGGGCTCGCTTGCGAAGTGGAGCCGGATGAGCTGGCATGGCGGAAGAGGACCGTGAGAGCGTCAAGGCGCTGCTTGAGCAGAGGGAAAATTCTTCGATGAGGCGGCAGTCGGGCGCTGCCGTGACAAATGCGGGCAGCGACTTGGACGACAGCGACCGACGACCGACGACATGACGAAACAGGCAAAGCGAGCATGGCTGGCCGCGTTGCGCCATCGTGACTTCCCCTCACCTTTGCAAATGCCGCATGACGAAGCGTGGGATAAGTTGCTTTTTGTTGCGCGCAGCCCGCATAACGACTGGCGGGATGAGCCCTGTCACCGGTAGAGACCCATGGCAAGCTACGGCCCGTTCACACAGAAATGCGGAGAAGCCAAGCAGAGACATGCCCACCTGCAGCGCAAGTCGCCAATGGCACGCCCCGGACGCGGCCGTGGGCATGCAGGTTGGTGTTTGAAGTGCTGGAGGGCCCTCTGCCCATTACCCAAGGCAAGGGCGCTGCGACGAAGTGGGTGCTTCCTGCCTGCTGGAACCCGTGGACCTCTCAACAGCGTCCATGTGTGTCTGCTCGGTGTTTATCGCCACCAGCGATCACTTACTGCGAACGTTGTTGAGTGTGGCTGACATCTGGATCATGCCTGAAGTCTGTGAAAATTCTTCCTGGCGAGCGTCGCACAGCCAGAGGCATACCGGTGGAGGAGAGGCCAGCCGTGCCTCGTCCTCGCACTCTGACCACGTACTGCGCAACATGCAAACTCTAAAGCGCCACGGGAATATAGAGAGACGCAGCACTGGGCCCGGCCGTGTCTCATCTGTGCACGTCTGAGAGGCTTGTGCTTATCTCGAGCCAAACACTGTGCCAAAGGGTGCCCGTCACGTGTTGGTGAGGGGTTGGCGCGATCTGCGTCGATAGTGAGACAGGATGGGGTTGGACAGGCGGTTGCGCGAGGCTGTCATCTGAGTATCACCGAGAACAAGTGGAGCAGAGGCAAAAAGTTTGTGTCTTGTCGCCATGAGTCTATGCCCATGGCCGTTGCGTCCATTTGAGACAGCTACTACTACGCTATAGCTAGAGCGGAAAACAGGCGCGACATTCAACGCCGGCCGAGTGAGAGGAATTCCCAACCGTCCTGGCCACAGTGGCCGTGATGCAATCGCATGTGCAGAGTGACCCCAGTCACCCACCCACGCCGGGGCAAGATGCTCGTAACAAAGACCCCTATACACCAAGGGGATATATAAATACTTTTAATCGTACACTGCGTCCACGTATGACAACAAAGGAAAGGGTACAGAACTAGAACGCAGCGCAACGGTGGTGGATATGCAGGTGTACTCCGTGGACCCATGCCAATCTCGACCCCCCAAGGCCCGAGACTGATGCAAAATACAAGAGAACAGAGAGAAACCGAAAGAAAGACAAGACGTCTTGGTCGGGTGTCGTAATTGTCGTGAAACCAAACTCCAAAAGCAGCGGACTTAGCAAGGCTAGTACTGCGTGTACCGCCTCTTGACGTCGCGTGTTTGGTCAAAGGAGCGCATGTAGCTGTTGAGTTGGGTTGCCGCTTGTTGCGAGATGCCGGACTGGGACTGGGAAGATTGCGAGGCTAGAGATGATCGTGACGACGAGGGCGTCAGGCTGCGCTGTGGGGAGGGCCTCGTTGCGGTTGGTGGTGCGAAGTAGCTGCCATTTGCGGTTGGGTAGTAGTGGTACGGGCTCGCTGGTTGCACTTGTGAACTCGAGGCTCCCTTGTATGCGGAGAAGTTGATTGCGGGGGCGAGGTAGAAGCCGTTGTTGGACGAGGACGAGGAGGAAGCGGATGATGACAGTTGCGAGGGTGCTTGAGCTGTGCTGCCAGCCCGCTCCATGTCGACGAGGCGGCACGATTGGGAGCAGTAGACGCCGTTTTCAGCGATTTGGCGGTCGCAGGACAGGCAGAAGTCGTTGAAGCACTCCATCTGGGAAGCCATTGCGAGGTGTGTGGTGTGTGCTGGTGTGTTGGTGAAGTAGTAGTGGTGGTGGTGATGGTATAGCCGCCGACGAGATGATATCGGGGTTGAGTGTTGGTGTGGGTGGGTGTAGTTAATGTAGTTGGACTCAAGCGGGACGACTGGGTTATGAACAGGTCTCAAGTGGGAGTCATGAGGTAGTTAAGTTGGTGAGCGGCAGGACCGTGTGGAGCAGCGGGAGGATGAGCCCCATATACTTAAGTCGCGCTCAGGCACTTCACGGCTGACCACCGACCACCCTAGCAGGCTTGGGTTGCAGGGTCCACGGGAGACGCACCCCTGTCGCCTCTCCACAATACTGATATTTGTTCGAA